AATCAAAAGTTGCGTGATTTGAATTTCTGAAATTCAAAAAGAAAAACTGACATACGTAAGTTTTTACATGTAGGATATGCCCCCTCCATAGTTGTAAGCACATCGGAAGGAACCAGCGATAAATTATCTTTAAATGTTATATAGAATAGAATCTATTTAGGAGAATTTTTAATAACATAATAAATTATAAATTATAAAATAGACTTACAAGGATTATTTGTAGCATAATCTATAAGTGAACCACTTTATAATAAATTAAAGTGTCAATGCTATAAATTTGTATGTTTAAATAATATAAATTAAAACAAACAGTCCAAGAAACTTACTATTGGATTGCAGGGTCTATCCATCCGTTACCAATTCCAATAGATTGGAGATTAATATTAATCGTGCATGATAAGAGTCCGCATGGTATATTGAGTATGCTATTGTTATCCACTATCAACTTTGCTAAGGCAGGAACTAAAGCAAATGAAATAAAAAATTAGTCACTATATATGCAGCGGGAAAATGAAGCAATAAGATGAAAAACACCACAATTATTTACTATAACGTCCTCCATAAGATTCCCCGAATATATGAAAGTTTAAACCCTGGTATTCCGTGAATATACCAAACCATTTCTGTAAGAATTCATAAAGATTAGATGCTGCTTGATCTGTTGAATTCAAATAATGATTATCTCCTCCATATGAAAATCCTGCACTATTTGGCTGATAGAATGAAGAATGTGTTACTTCGATCCGGATATATCTGATATGTATATATAAAAAATCTTATTTAAACGTTGCACCAACCTGGTCAACAAATAATAGATTTGAAGCTTGGTTCCAACTATAAGGATTTATAGTAGTTCCTGTTCCATTTGATTGAGATCTACAAGGCCCTACTTCTTGAAAAAGCCCGATCATTGAAGAACACCCGGGACCACCATTAAGATACATTGTGAGAGGCGAGCCCATCGGATTATTTCTCGATTCAAAAAACCAAAAAAACATGTTTGAACCGTCAGAAGTTTGTATATAACCAGAATACTATTAATTAATTATATGAACTTCAGCAAAAATTATATTGAATTTCACTAAAACAAGATATTTTTTTGGTATAAACCTGTTTCACATTAGGATCACATAAATTGCTGGAAGAGAAGGTCTGTTTTTGACTACCGAGGAGATCCAGTCTTGCAAGTTTACGATTGGGACGATATTTATTGGGACGATCATTATTGGGATAATTTTTATTGGAACGATCATTATTGGGATAGGGATAATTATTGGGATAATTTTTATTGGGAGGATAATTTTTATTGGGAGGATAATTTTTATTGGGATAATTTTTATTGGGAGGATAATTTTTATTGAGATAATTTTTATTGGGAGGATAATTTTTATTGGGATAATTTTTATTGGGATGATTTTTATTGGGATGATTTTTATTGGGATGATTTTTATTGGGATGATTTTGATTGGGATGATTTTGATGATGAATCTTGGCCGCGTCAATAAGCAAAGCAACACTGAGAAGCAAAATAATGACAAAATGAAAGCGTAATGAGGAAAGACGAAAGTTACCGAATGAATTTCGTAACAATCTAAAGTTTGCCATAATTGCAAAGAAGAGAACTGTAAGGAAAGGAGAGATGTGAGACTTATTGGACAAAATGTCCTTTCAAAATAGAGTAGCCGTCAAGTGAATTTTTTTGTCATGAGATTTTGCAGGCAGCAGGCCCTCTTTATTTTATCTTCGATAAAATGTTTGTGATACTAAGATTTATAGGCATACTAATTACACTCAAAAATATAATTTAACATTGCAGTATCGTGCGTCAGGCCGAAATTATTAAAAATGCATAATTTTCGTGATCCAATCAATTAATTTTTTTTTAGGTTCTAGTATGATTATTGTTTCCTCAACGGATCTTGGCCACGCATATGATTTCTGAATCGTTGAAATAAAATTATCAAATTCGTCAATTTCTCTGCAAATGCACTTTAATTGCTGCAATACAATTCAATGAATGGTGCAGTGCGGCAATTTGATATCTAAAATTGGTAGATTTCAATTCCATCTTAAGTGTGCTTTATTGCATGTTTTTGGAAAAATTATGCGATCAATTCACGTGATTATAATTGCCTTCAATTACCGAAAATAAGTTTATAGTCCGCATTTGGTTAAGTTAAATCAAGAATAACATTATTTCACACAAATACGGCAATCGTGTAACTCATACTTATATATAGAATATGCAATACGCAATATGTACGTAAGTACTAGTTCAGAACTTCCTTCTTTATGCACCTATCAATCTCATAAATTTCATAAATTACAATGCTTGAAGATACAGTTTTTGAAATTTCTCAAGATGAGCTCGATGCTGAAGCTCGCATTCGTGCCGAATTTCAAAGTTTGACCAATAATCAAGTTTTTGAACATGTACTTCGCTATCGCATCATGGCACTCAAACGTGGTGTGACAGTTTTGCGTACCGCATCAGATGTTTTAGGCAACGACAGTCGTGAACTTATGATTCCATCATTACAAGAAACTCTAAATTCAGTCATTAATAATACTTCCGCAACTGGCGAATTTCATATGTTGGATGTGGGCGCTGGCTCTGGTATTTTTCATTTATAATCATGTTCTTGGCACTTTAATTCGCAATAATTTTCCGTTATTTTATTGATATTAGGGGAAGCTATTGATTGGTGTTTTGCAAAGAAATTTGAAGAAAATGTTGGCATAGGAAAAAACAAACATATCATTCATATTATTGAACCAAATTCTATTTTGTTAAAAGCCTATCAACAAAAATTATTAGAATATGAGCATCTTGATCAAGGAATTGTATATCAGGGACCTGTACAAGATTATTATACATACCACGATGATGCTCTATTACTACCAAAACTGCCAGCTTCAGTTGATTTCATAAATTGTATGCATATGATATACTATTTGTAAGTATTGATAAGATTTACAAAAATATGCACAATCGTTGACTTTGTTTTCTAAATTTATAAAATAAATAATTTAATTTATGATTCGTTCTAGATCTGATATCACAAAATTAACAATTGATCCACGTAAAGCTATTATAGATTTTATTACATTCCTATACGGATTACTAAAGCCAGGTGGTGCAATTTACATTGCATTTCTTGATATGGAAAATGCGTTCAATTCAATTAGTAGAAACTTTTATGAACAAATTATCGGTGATATAGATACTTCACAAAATATTTCACATACTAGCAAAGCGCGAAGTGAACTTTTACTTGAAGGTAAAATTTTAAAAACTTTAGAGTCACAAATTGTTGATGAGAATATTCGCCCAAAAATTTTGAGTAGCAAGGTGCCAAGTGGTTTCTATGCAAGATCATTGGGAGATCTTGCGGTTTTAACTTTAACTGGAGAATTGCTAAGGTCGGATGATGACAATTTTGATATTAGAATGTTGGATTTCGCTATAAAAGAATTAAAAACCGCTGCTGTTACACCCGTGGCTATTGGAGAAGATAAACCATTCGGTTTAACGCGTTGCGTCCGCGGTGGAGAAAATGTTTGGAGAGTTGAAAATCCTTTAATTGTTAGTGTCATCAAAAAAGAACGTGTGGGTTAATCATGTATCAGTTTTAAATAATCTTTTTACAATTATCTGATAGAAAAGATTTCAATTTAAATATATCCATTATATTTTTCTTTATTCAAAATAAAAAATTAAATTTAGTGATTGTTATTAGCAAGTGTAAATTTAAAACATTGTATAAGTTTAATTTGTGCACTGTTTCCGATTGTATATATTTTAAAGGGTGTCTCTTAAACCGTCTAGCAGGCAAATTTGCCCGTAAAATGTTTTTGAAATTTTTTTTTTAAATTTAAGCTTATTCTTCTTATCGATTAAGTAAAATTAAAGATATCTTTTTTATAAATAATATTAAAATTTATTATTTATTTTATTTTTTTTTAATATTTAAGGTGAGGTCATGCCTCTGGTTTTTATTAGACACTTTACTTTACAAGTACATCTAATGATCGAACTACAGAAGCTTTAGACTAATTTATCTATAACCTAAATCTACTAGAGTGGTTCATGTCCTACACATGTATCTTTAGCTTTTTGTTTTCCAATTAGCTATTTTCAGTAATTACT